ATGCTGCGTTCAGGACAAGCATGGAAAACTCACCACTCTTATGCCAATACGGTCGCAATGATGCATTTAGGTACCGAAGTGGAATTGCATGAACATTCACGTGGTGGTTATGTAACACAGCGAATCGATAATAAAAAATCTGCATCGACAGATTTACATAATCGACGTCATCGATTATTTCAACTAATCGGTGCAGCCCTAATAGAAACGCTCTTACGCTCACTGATAAACATAGCCGTGAGTTCTGCTGTTGTCTTTTTGTGATTTTATTTCATCAAACATTTCAGGGATCACCGATCATTCAAGATATTTTCTGATCACATTCTAAGATGATGCTGTCCCACTGTGCTTCCAGTTTTAATAATGTGTTCGACAGCTCTTCAATTAGTTTTTGTATCAATCTCCTTAGATGTTTTCTCTGCTTGACGCCAATAATTTGGCCCTTTTGAAACAAATTAACATCTTTTCCATGCCCACATGATGTATCTTTAGACACGGTTGTTTAACAAATAAGAAGCTACTCATTGCAACAATCAGGGTTAAATGAATTGTTGCTAGCTGAAATATAATCTCCCATGCAGTAATTACGCACTGGGAGGCTTTTACCTATTTGCGCAGTTAAATCCAGTGTATTATCCTCAGGCAAAATCAGACTGCCAAATATTTCCTAATCCAACATGGAAGACAGAATATGAAAGCTCAAACTGATAAAACAAAGTTGTGATACACTCTCCCTGTTGTCTATTGTTTTTAGTCCCATTGCTCTCAGTGAAGTCACATTAAATTAAAACTTGTGCACAAAATTCTTGTTTTAAAAAAATAACGTTAAAGCTGTATATCATGGTTCCACCCTTGAATAGTTCAAATTAACAACTAGTGGTGTAAGAATACATCAGTGTGGATGGGACATGTCCCACCTGGTGCCTATGGCGGTTACGCCTATGCTTAAGTAGAATTTTTGGGTATCTGTACTTTACTTGAGTAATTATTTGTCATCGTACTTTTTACTTTTACTTATACATTTTTACACAACTATCTGTACTTTTTATTTTAAACAGGTAAGAAGTAGAAAGTCGTTACTCCTATTTTATTCCGAGTTGTTATTACTTAAAAAAATACTATCCTGATAAAGTGTGTCTCCTGGATAGAGTTAATTTAATTGTGGTTGGATGAGAAGTATAAATATATACCATTCTGATACACTGTTAGCTTGTACACAACCCATCACAGCTGCACGCTGTTAGAAAAAATATTTTTTGGAGAAGTCACCTCCCAATAAATGTCATTTTGGAAAATCTAACTGCTCACTTTTACTCAGTACTTTTACTTTTAATACTTAAGTAGATTTTGTGTCAGAAATTTACTTTTGATACTTAAGTACAAAAAATATCAGTTACTTTAAAACTTTTACTCAAGGAATATTTTTAGAGAAAACTTTAACTTTTACCAAAGTATTTTTATGATAATATACTTGTACTTTTACTCAAGTATCACTTTGAGGTACTTTATACCAGTGGTTCCCAAACTTTTTATCTTCTGACCCACAAAATATCCATGGCGAAAACTTGTGACCCCAAATATTACTGGTCTGAGTACACGAACTTTGTTAATAACCCTAAAAACACAGGCTTTTTGACAATCTAAACAGTTTGTACACAAATATAAATACTTATTTAAACTTTCCTTTTGTGTGTTTTTGTAATAATTATAGAGAAAACATTACATCAGCAATTATTTTACCACCCTTTAAATTGATTTCTGAAGATTATCCAAGGTGCTTCATGACCCATAACTGGATCTCAAGCCAAACTTTGGGAACCAAAGTGCAGTGGTTCCCAAACTTTTCAGCTTTTGACCCACAAAATAACAGTAACAGAGACCTGTTCCCTCAGCTTTTTTTTTTTTTTTTTTTGGATGATAAACATTTGTATCAGGTCAACAAAACACGGACATAGTAACAATATTTTTATACTACATTTATCC